ACACCTTAGATCAGAGTGTTCCGATCCCATCCAGCCTGGCCTTGCATACTTCCAGGGATCCAGGGGCAGCCACAGCTTCTCTGGGCACCCTGTGCCAGGGCCTGCCCACCTCACAGGGAGGAATTTCTTCCCAGTATCTGAATCATGCTGAGGCAGTGGGAAGCCATTCCTCTTTGTCCCATGACTCCATACCCTTGTCCAAAGTCCCTGTCCAGCTTCCTTGGAGCCCCTTTAGGCACTGGAGGGGGCCCTCTTCAAACCCTAGTACTCCTTGCTTCCCAGCAACAGGTTGTGGTGTGCAGCAATAGCATAAACAAAACTCTTCCTTCGGTTGTTTTGTGAAAAGGTTTCACTTCTGGTGCTGCTGATGGGTCTGGCACATCCCAGAATTTAATTTGTTTCCTTCATGGAATCCTGGAATGGTTTGTGTTGGAAGGAACCTTAAAGTCCACCTTGAAGTCCATTCCATCCCTCTTGCCATGGGCAGGGACACCTTAGATCAGAGTGTTCCAATCCCATCCATCCTGGCCTTGCATACTTCCAGGGATCCAGGGGCAGCCACAGCTTCTCTGGGCACCCTGTGCCAGGGCCTGCCTACCTCACAGGGAGGAATTTCTTCCCAGTATCTGAATCATGCTGAGGCAGTGGGAAGCCATTCCTCTTTGTCCCATGACTCCATACCCTTGTCCAAAGTCCCTGTCCAGCTTCCTTGGAGCCCCTTTAGGCACTGGAGGGGGCCCTCTTCAAACCCTAGTACTCCTTGCTTCCCAGCACACCTGCCACTCCCTCTGTTAGGAATCGAGAGAGGTTATTTCTGTTTTTCCTGGGTGGAGAGTGCTCTGTGATGGGAAGGAGTGACAGTGTGAGCAGCCACTGTGACAGGGACAGGTGTGAAGCTTTGGGGTGAGTGGGCACAGTGGCAGAGCATTGCAGGGAGCCCCGAGGAGCAGGAAACCATCCTTCCTTCTGAGGTCAGCCAAAACAAAGAGAAAGGTGACCAACCCCTTTTTACTGCCATCTCTTATTAATGAGACATTTTATCCTAAGTCCTCCAACATGAAAGACGCAGGCTTTTGGGGACATAATTAATCTTTCTTGTATAAATCTTTAATTGTATGAAATGGAGTTTGTGTGGCTGTCGTCATTTCTCTTCCTCTCTTTTCCTCCTCTCCCGGTTTGAGATGCTTCCTTAGCACAGCTTCTTTTCTGCAGGCTGCTCTTCTTTAGGGCAGTGACCCCATGGAGCCACCACTCACAGTGTCCCTTGAGGCCATGCTGCTGCCCTGGGGTCTCTTGCTCTGCCCCAAGATGGGCAGGGAATCACTTTCCCTATGGCTTTTTTCCTTTGTGGAGTGACAGCAAACCCAGGAATTGTCCTGAAAGAAAACTAGCTGGTCTCCTCTGGAAAAAAGTGTATAGAATACTCTTGGGACAAACAACAAAAGAGCAGTTGTGCCCAAATCAGTGCCAGGCAGAGCCAAATGCCTCTTTGGAGGAGGTGAAGTGCAGCCTTTCAGATGCTAAGTAGTTATTTGGGATTTCAGTCAGTCCCTCTATGGAGGAATTGATGCACCATTGGCTCCAGGAGGATTAATGTGTTGGCTTTCCTTCTTGCCTTCTGTAAAGGGCAGGAAGGGCTGTGGGACTGCCTCAAGCCCACGCCTGCAGAGACAGATAGGAAATTGAATAGGAGACAGATGGAATGGACATTTTGGAGATCTCCAAGGTGGGGAGAAGTCACTGCTCAGGTTCTCAGTGCCTCACAGCTCTCGGGTTAAACAGAGCTTCCAAATTAGCATCTCCACCGAGAAGCTTTTCCTGAGGCACAGCTGATGTTCCCAGGTAGAGCAATTTCCTGCTGCTTAATGGAACGGGAGGAGCACTTTGCGCTTGGATGCCAGGCTTTTCCAGCAATAACTTCTTGTAAGAAATTCTGATGTCATTTTTTTTTGGTCTGCTTCGTGGGTTGGATTAATGGGCAGGGACACACCCCCCGAGCTCCGGAGTTGGCTTGCTTTCCTTCATTTGCACTCAAGTCTTCGCCGAACAAAGACGGATTTGTTGAACAAAGCGGGGTCAGTGCTGGGATGAGGAGCCTTGTGCCTCCAGCCTGCTACTTTGAATTAGGACTGAGCTGTAGCTGTTAAGTCCTGCATCCTGTGGCCTGGATTGGTGCAAACCTCCTGGCCTCAAACCTTGCTCCTGCAGAGCCTGCGACCTCGAGAGGCACCCGGGGCTGGTGCCTCCAGAGCAGTGGTGCCTCCCCACGCTCCCTCAGTGACACAGGCAGCAAAGCAGGAGAGGTTTGAGCAGCTGCTGCTGCAGATAAAAAGAGTTCAAGCACAGTCTTTAGTGGGAAAAATAACCTAAAGAACACTTTGATTTAAAGGCAAAACCAGTCTGTGAGGAGAGGCTTTTGACAGGGCCAGCTCCTGCGAGAGAGCTGTGGGCCAGCTGCTGGCTCCCTTTCCCTTCAAGTGTTTTTTTTTCTTCTTCCTTTCAGCTCTTTGAGAACTTCCACTTCGGGGAGGTGCAGCTGGACTCGGTGCGTCTCTCCCAGAGGTTCTCCTCGGACGCCTCTGGCTACTACGCCACATCTGGGCAGCTGTGCTTCTCTTGAGGCAGCCATAGGGGGTCTGCTCTGTGCATGATCCCTCAGTGAAAGGTTTTGTAGGACATGAATCTTCAATGGGAACCTGGGAACTCCAAGCTGGGATGCCTCGTGACTCCTCCAAAGCATGGGAACTGTGGCATTTCCCTGCAGCTTTTCCCACTGCCCTCTTCTTCAGGGTTGCCTTTCTCCTTCTTTCCCCAAAACGTCACAAAGTTGCCTCTTTGATATCTGTGGATTGCTGGTTTTCCAAGAAAACAATAGAACTGGGGCTTTTGGGGCATTGCTGGTGTTGAAATGTGGCTTTTTTTTTCAGAAGAAGGAAGTTTGTTCTTAAAGTAAGTATTTAAAATCCAGGAGAGCTTCGCCGGAGCACGATTTAATGATATTGAGGTCAGGCATTGCTTGGATCTCCAGCAGCGTGCCTGTGTGATGTAGATCTCCAAATAAATTAATTCCCTTCAAAAGCAAAGTGTTTATCTCCTGTTGCATTGATAGTTTCTGTAATTAAACTTCCAGCACAGCACATAACTATGATAATAAGAAAGCACTGACGGTTAGAGCTCTTTCCAGTGACCGTTTCGGAGCGTGTCAAAAAACATATGCCTTGTAGGTGGTTTCTCCATTAAAAGCAGCACCAAGCTCTTTGATTCCATTGTGAATCCTTCAGAGATCTCAAGACAACGTTTTTTTCCTGTAAATCTCCACGTTTGGTAAAAATAGCGACACAGGATTTCAACTTGCCCTAGGATGAACGCTTTGGAAAATGGAAGGTGCTGGTGCTTGGGTGTTTTGTAACTAAACAGGTGCTGCTGCCCATTCCTAGTTGCTTCTGTGGATATGGAATCATGCTGTGGTAGAGGTGGAGAGTGTCTCAGCTAGGGATAGAGGTGCTCCAGCAGAACCCACATGTCCTAGTGATCATTTCTAAGAGGTCTTCACCCCATTTCCTCCCTCCAGAGTGAGCTGGCTGTTTGGCCATGCACAAACAGCAGTGGGAGTCATTCAGGAATTGGGATTGCTATTCTTTTCCCCCCAAATTGTGTTGCTGTTTATGTTTCCCAGACCAAATTGCCTGTCTGCTTTCAAGCCTGCCTGTCAGGCAATCAAATCATCTGTGCTTTTGCGGGGTGCCCTTGCTTGTACCCAGCCACAGCCATTGGGCTGTTTGTGTCCTTTTCCTTGGCGTCAGAACGCCTCTGTGCTCTCCAAAAGCCGCCTTCCAAACGGTTCCCTCGGGGAGCAGAGCACAGCACGCACTCACGGGGAGGTGCTGAGAGCACTTAACACCAGTTGCTGTCATCTTTCCGCCAGCCTGAAGAGGTACTTGGCAAATCTCTTTGGAACAGACCCGGGAGCTGCTCACGCAGCCACCAGGAAAGGGGAGATGCACCTTGGGAAGCTTCTGCCTGATGAGTTCTTAACGACTCTCACCCAGAAGTTGAGGCAAACACGGGTTTTTGACAATTGGAGCATACTCCTCCTCTTCCCACTTGTGTAAACATGTTTTAGTGACAATTCTTTGGGAAGTTGGTTGAATTTCGCTGGTAAGCAGCTTATCCCACTGCTCTAGCCTGGCACAGCAAAATTCATTTCACACCTCCTTCCCCAGGCAGAATTAAGGATTCTGATCTTTTGCCTGGCATCACTGGGGTTTGCTGGCAGTTATCTTTCCCATCCTGAGCATCCTGGCAGGGAGAAGAGAAGCTGGATGTGTGCTGTGGCATCCCCAGCTGAAGCTGTGAAGGAGCTGCAGCTGGGGTGAGCTGTCACTTGTTGCCTTCCCTGATTTCACCCCGCTGAGAAGAGGAGACAATCCAAAAGCAAAAACCTTGGGATAGGGGGGAGTCTTCCCTGGAGCCTTAAAATGCTGTGCTGGGATGGCCAGGAAATGGGGACCACAGTGTGGGCATCGCAGGGAGAGGGGTTGGAGGATGGGAGATGGCAGGGATGAGGGGCTGTGGGATAGGGGTGCAGTAGGGACTGGGAATGCAGGGTGGGCATGTGGAAGGAATGGGGGATGCATGATGGATGGTAAGAATGAGAGATGTGGCGTGACTGGTGCTGGATGGGGATGTGACAGGGAATGCAGGATGGGGGATGTGAGATGGGGACCTGGCAGGGACCAAGGGATGCAGGACATTGGATGTGGGATGGAGACTGGGTGGGAGCCAAGGATGCAGGATGGGGGATGCAGAATGGATATGTGATGGGGATGGGGGATGCAGGATGGGGACTCGGTATCGACCATGGATGAGGGGTGCAGGATAGGGGTGTGGCAGGTGATGCAGGATGGGGGATGTGGGATGATACCAGAAGAGGACGAGGAATGCAGGATAGAGGATGCGGGAAGGGGGTGTGTCGGGGATGGAGGATGGGGACGCGGTAGGGACCGGGAGTGCAGGACGAGAACTTCAGGATGGGGCTGTGGCAGGAGATGCGGGGTGCACGATGAGGGACGCGGGACGAGGACAGGTCAAGGACGAGGGTGCAGGATGGGGGCAGAAGCGGGGCCGGTGCTGCGGCCGTGCCCAGCCGTGCCGGCGGCTCCCCCGCCCCGGTGTCGGCGCGCAGGTGCGGCGGGCGCGGCCGCCGGCCCCGGGCCCGCCGCCGGCCCCGCCACCGGCCCCGGGCCCGCCGCGGCGGGGGAGAGCCCCGGCAATTTCATGGAGGACGAGCAGTGGCTCTCGTCCATCTCCCAGTACGGCGGCAGGATCAAGCACTGGAACCGCTTCCGAGACGTGAGTCCGCGCCGGCAGCGGGGCGGGGGGGACGGGACGCGCTGCCGGGCACCGGGAGCCCCCTCCCCGCGCTCCCCGCCCCGGCGCTGCGGCTGCCGCAGCGCGACCCTCCCCGGCCTCGGCCCCGTCGCGGACGCCCGGGGATGCTCGGCGGTGCCCGCATCCCGCCGCGGCCGTGGGCGGCTGCCGGCCCCGGTACCCGGGGGATGCTCCGTGGCCCCGGTACCCGGGGGATGCTCACCGGCTCCGGCAGCGCCGCCGCCTCCCTGCCCGACGCCAAAGCTGCGTGGCTTATGGCAATGCCTCCATGGCCAGGGCTTGATGCCAAAGCGACTCTCTCCGGTGACCGGGGGTGCTGTCCTCTGCACCCTCTCCCCGTGCCCCGCATGGAGGTGCAGGCAGGGCCCACCCGCCCGTTGCGGGGGCTGCGCCGTGGCCTGAAACCTTCGGTGACAGCCCAGCCCGTGTCAGGGCACGAGCATCCCCCGGGACTCCGCTCCCCGAGCCCCGCGGGGTGTCTCCGGAGCCCCGCGCGGTGCCGCAGCCGGGGCCGGCGCTGCCTCCGCGGGGTGGCGACCCCTGGGGATTGGGGGACATGAGGCAGGGAGGATGAGGATGCAGGCACTGATGGAGGAGCGCTGGCACACCTGGCACACCGGGCTCGGGATCCTGTCACCCCTCGCTGTTACACAGCCCTTGTGAACAGCCTCGATGGCATTTAGCTGCAGCCCTTAAAATTATGGGGCAGTCGGGGTTTTTCCTGGGCTCGTTTTACATCTCCTGCTCGTGTCCTCCAGGGTGGGGGTGCTGCAGCCCCATCCTGGGGAGACCCAGGACACCTGCAGCCGCCGGGAGGGGAGGGGGCACACCCCGAGCCGCCCCCCCCACCCCGAGCCAGCCCCTGTGGTCTTTGTTCAGATGCACACTCGGGTTCACCTTGACAGCGAGGAGGGGATGGATGGATGATGGCAAGCGAGGTGTGCCCACCGCAGGGCAGGGCAGGGGGCACCACCCCCAAAATGAACCAGCTGGGGGGCAGAGCACGGGTGAGGGTGCAAAGGTGTAAATTCCTCCCCTGGAGACCCCTGCCCACAACACCCCCGCTGGCCAACGCCGGCACTGGGCACCTGGGACCTCGGATGGCTGCAGGGGCTCAAGGGGAGCACTTGTGGACGTGCCCCCATGGCACTGAGCATCCCGGGGGGTTCAGGGCCGAAGAGGGATGCAGGGATGCCCATCCCCGGGGTTCAGGGCCGAGGAGGGATGCAGGGATGCCCATCCCCGGGGTTCAGGGCCGAGGAGGGATGCAGGGATGCCCATCCCCGGGCGCTGGCAGCACACATCGGGCCCACCCTGCCGTGGCACGGCTGCCGCGCTGGGGGGGCTGCAGCCCTTCTGGCGGGTAGCTTGGATTAATAAGCAAATCCATGGATTTGTGGGGTTTTCGACTGAGCAGCGCCGGAGGGAGGATGCACGGGCAGGAGGCCGGCGGCCGTGGCGAGACCCGCGCCGCAGGGAGCTGCCGGGCGCCGCAGTGTTACCAATCACGGCACGGGAACGCGGCTATCGATTGCGGTGCAAACACCGCCGTGCTGGAGCGAGACATCCCCTCCAGAGCTGCCTCCCGTGCCGCTGCTTCCTGCTGCCATCCCAAACCCTGCCCACCCTCCCTAGGGCGGCAGGGATGCTCCTGCCTTATCGCAAAGCTCACCCCGGAGCATCCCGTGGGGCGGGCGATGCTGCCTGCTGGGCGGGTTTGAGTCCCTGCTACTCCCCCACACCCCCGGGATGCTTTCGGAGTCCTGTGGGAGCAGTCCTGCCTCCCCAGGGAGCAACATCCATCTTGGCCCACTCCTTCTGGGCTCACGATTGAAGAACCGGGGTGGCAGCACCATGGGGATCCCCTGAGGTCCTCACTGGGTTCCCAAGGGCTTCCTCCACCCGATGCCATTTCCGTCCCTATTCCCTGCCTTTCCCAGCTGGCTGATGGGGGAAGGCTTTATCCTGTGTAAAGGCTGTCCAGGATTACAGGTCTAGAGGCAGAGATGGGGGAGCACGTTGATGGTCGGTGCCAGTGATATCCAGGGCTGGTGGCAGAGCTTTGGGCACCGGAAGGTCGGGGTGTCCCGCTGGCACAGGGTGCCTGTCACTGTGGGCTGGGGTCGGGAGCGGGGCTTTGGCTGTCCCGGGGCTGACGGTGGGCTCTCTCTCTCTCTGTCTTTTTCTTCTGTCGGTGCCGGCTGGGCCGTCTCGCTGCCGTGCCGCCAGGAGGTGGAGGTGAGCCTCGAGGGGCTGCCGAGGGGGTGACACCCCGCTTGTGGGGGGAGCTGCTCCCCGTCCCTGCTCCCTGCCCTGCCGCTGTGGGGGTGCCCAGGGGGTGCGTGCACCGGCGGCCCCGAGCGGGCTGATGGCACGCCTGGCCCGGTGTCACCTTTCCCGCCACCTGCGCTCATGCAGGCTCTCCCCAATTCGCAGGATGACTACATCAAGAGCTGGGAGGACAACCAGCCCGGGGATGAAGGTACCGCTGGGATGGGTTTGGGATGGAGCGCAGTGGGCTCGGTGCCAGTCAGTATGGGGGGTCGGGGCGGGTCGCACTCTTTGCTTGCACCCCCGGGCTTCTCCCTTCCGACTCGGAGCGGCGCTGGGGTCGGTGCGAGCCGGGAAGCAGCAGCTGGTGCCGAGGCGGCTGCCCAGCTGCAGCCTGAATGGCGCTTTGTGCCGGGCCGGCTGGTGGCCGGCGCTGCCGGGGCTCCCTTGGGGCGTCCCCGCCTGCCCCAGTGCCTCTCCGCCCCGCAGCCCTGGACACCACCAAGGACCCCTGCCAGAAGGTGAAGTGCAGCCGGCACAAGGTGTGCGTGGCGCAGGGCTACCAGCGCGCCATGTGCATCAGCCGCAAGAAGCTGGAGCACAGGTAGGAGCGGGGCCGAGCGGCGGCGGGGGAAGGGGCCCGGGCGGGGCTCAGCACCCTCTCGCCCCGTGCAGGATCAAGCCGCTGGGCCCCAAGGCGCACGGGGGCTGCAAGCCCTGCCACGCCGCCCCGGTGGCTGCCGTCTGCGGCTCCGACGGCCACACCTACAGCTCGGCGGTAAGGACGGCGGCACCGCCGCGGGGACGGGGCCCCGTGTCCCCCCTGTGTCCCCCCGCCGACGTCCCGCTGCCGCCCCGCAGTGCAAGCTGGAGCAGCAGGCGTGCCTAGCCAGCAAGCAGCTGACGGTGCGGTGCGAGGGGCAGTGCCCCTGCCCGACCCCGCACAGCCCTGCCGGCGACAGCAAGCAAGGTGAGTGGGGTGCAGGGCACCGGGGGACTGTCCCCGAGCTCTGCCCGGCCTGACGCTGCCCCGCTGGACCCCCCAGAACTGTGCACCGGGCAGGATCTGGCCGACCTGGGTGACCGTCTGCGCGACTGGTTCCAGCTGCTGCGGGAGAACGCCAAGCAGAACGGCTCCGGCGGGCTCCCCGCCAGCCCCACCTCTGGTACCTGTCCCTGCCACACAGGGAGGGAACGTGGGCTGCTGTCCCCGGGGGGGCCGGGCAGCCACGGGCTTCATCCTGCCCTGCAGCGCTGGAGAGGAGCGTGGCGGCCACCTGCAAGGAGGCGGTGGGGTGGATGTTCGCCCGGCTGGACACGAGCGGGGACCTCTTCCTGGAGGCGGCCGAGCTGGCCGCCATCAACCTGGACAAGTACGAGGTGTGCATCCGCGCCTTCTTCAACTCCTGCGACACCTCCAAGGACGGCCGCGTCTCCGCCCCCGAGTGGTGCTTCTGCTTCTGGAGGGAAAGTGCGTCAGGACACGGGGACAGGGCGCTGAGGGGCCGGGGGATGGACACCACGGGGCCAGGAGGATGCACCCCGTGGGGCTGGGCTGGGGGATCTGTGTCCTGTGGGATGCATGCCATGGATTGGGGAATCCATGCTGTGGGATCGGGGTTGTACCTCGTGGGGTTGTGGGGATCCATCCCATGCTGTGGGACTGGGGGGTGGGGGATGTACATCATGGGGTATGTCATGGGGTAAGGGGCAATCCTTGCTGTGCCTTTGGGGTGGCTGTGGGATGTTTGCCTTAGGGGGAGAGGTACACCACAGGGTTTGGGGGGGCTGGAAACCATGCATGCTGTGGGTCATGGGGAAGCACATCTTGGGTTAAGGGGGATTTGCGTCCTGGGGGATGTACTCCATGGGCTGGGGGGATACACATGGTGGAGCTGGGGATGTACTCCATGGGGATACACACTGTGGAGCTGGGGATGTACTCCATGGGCCAGGGGGATACACACTGGAGCTAGGGATGTACTCCATGGGCCAGGGGGATACACACTGGAGCTGGGGATGTACTCCATGGGCCAGGGAGGGTGCACATCGTGGGGATGCCCATCATGGGGAATGCACGCTGTGTGGTCTGGGGGGATGCACTCCATGGGGGAACATGAAGTTCTGGGGGACGCACACCACAGGGATGAATGCTGTGGGTTTGGGGGCGCGCACTGTGTGGGCGCTCTGGGGGGCTGCTTGCCTGCCCTAAGAGCAACATGTGGCATTGCTGCAGAGCCACCCTGTCTCAGGGAGCTGGAGAAGATCCAGATCCAAGAAGCAACCAAAAAAAAGCTGGGTGAGTGAGGCACCCCAGGGCCCTTTCCCCCAGCAGTGCCCCGCGCTGCCGGGCTGGGATGATGGGGATCTCCCTGGGGGGCTTTGGCACTGCACGTGTTTGGGGGGGTGGGGGGCCATCGCTTCCCTGCAGGCACCTTCATCCCCAGCTGCGATGAGGATGGCTACTACCGGCGGGCACAGTGCGAGCCGGGCGGCGGCGAGTGCTGGTGCGTGGACCAGCACGGGGCCGAGCTGACGGGCACCCGCGGCCACGGCAGCCCCGACTGCGGTGAGAGCTGCGGGCAGCGCCCGCCTGGGCACGGGGCCGCAGCCCGGGACCGCCCCCGAACCTCCGCCGCTCGCCCCTCCAGATGAAGCAACGGGGTTTTCGGGCGACTTCGGGAGCAGCGTGGGCTGGGAGGACGAGGAGGAGAAGGAGCCGGAGGAGGCGGGCGAGGAAGGCGAGGAAGAGGAGGGCGAAGCAGGCGAGGGCGACGACGGCGGCTACATCTGGTAGAGGAGCAGGAGAGCCCGGTGGGCGGCACGGCCGGGAGGCAGCCCCCCAGCTGGGGGTCCCCGTGACTCCCCCGCTGCCGGTGTGGCATGGGGTGGGTGCTCCCCCCTCCGGTCCCGTGTGGGACGGGGCAACGGGGCGCTCGCCCGGGGAGGGGGCGAGCGGGGCGGGGGGGGCCGCTCTTATGCGAATTTGAGCTTTTTTTTTTTTTTTTTTTTTTTTGGGTAGAGCCTTGTAGGCCTAGTGTGCTGCTGCGTGGTCTTCAACCGGGCAAATGGCGCTAATAAAAGTGGGAAAAAAAAGGAAAAAACAACAACAAAAAAAAAAAGAAAAAAAAAAAAAAAGAAATCCCCTTATAGATAAGCTGCCCCCTGTCCTCCCCGCATCCCCCCTCATGTTGTGCTTGCGTGGCTGCCCCGGCCCCCGGCGTTGTGTAGCGGCTGTGAAATAAATACCCCGTGCTGTGTCAAACACGCGCCCGCCCGTTCCTCCCCCGGCACCCCCGGCCCTGCAGGGCTCTCCTGGGCAGGGGGTGCCGCGGTGCTGTGGGGCTGTGCCCTCCAGTGAGCGGGCACCGCGGAGCAGCTTAGGGTACGAGTGCCCCACTGTCAGTGCCCTGGGTTTGGTTCTTGCACTCTGCTGCCATGAAGCTGGAACTGCCTCCCTCCCCAGGGATGTGTCCCCTCCCCAGCTCCTGACCCTCTCCATGACCCCAAACCTTCCCTTTTCACGGGGTCAGAAGCCGTGGAAGGACTCGGAACTGCCCTCCCTCCCCATGCTTTACCCCAACCCCAAACAAGACCCAAACCAATCCTATCCCTGACCCAGAATATCCCTTACAGGACCAACCTGCCCCCCCAGAACCCAACCCACACCCCAGTGAGAGCCTCCACCCCTCCCCCCGCTGCAGCCACTCAGCACACGGGACACCAGGGCCTCAACTCACAGCATTTATGGCCCCAGGGAGAAAAGAAAACAGTAACACAGACCCCAAACCTCCCCATTTTGGGGTTGTCAGCAGCACTCAAAGGCACCGTGCCATATCCCCTGGCCCAGGGTGCCCATGCTCCACCGGCTCTGTGGAGTCCAGGCGCTTGGGCCCCGTGCCACCAGGGCGAAGAGGGGATGTGGCAGCCCCACCCTGGCACCTCGGTTCCTGGCACCTCGGTTCCTGGCACCTCGGTCCCTGGCACAAGCCCCCCGCGAGGGGGTCAGAGCTTGCTGGGGAATCCTGGCCGCTGCTGGAGCTGCCAAGTCGCCCTCACCCCCTCACCCACCCGGTTGAGCCCCGCGAAGGCAGCGGGGTCGCCGGTGCGGCGGTAGCGCGCCACGAGGGGCTGCAGGACGGTGATGGGGATGCAGAAGTTGAGGTGGGGGTAGGTGGCCCCCGCAGCGGTGTCCCGTGTATTGCTGGCCACGATGCCTGGCAGGGAGGGAGTGGCGCCCACGTCACGGGGTCCGGCCGGGGGACACCCACGGGACCCCCCACACCTGCCCACGGGGACACCCCTGCTTACCCATGAGGGAGCCGCTGCGGGAGGAGACGAGGGGGCCGCCGCTGGAGCCGCCGTGGACGGCACAGGTGGTTTGCAGCATGACGGGGCGCCCGGCCACCGCCACCACGGCCGAGAGGATCCCTGCTGTCACCGAGGGGCCGCACGCCGGCCCCAGCGCCCCGAAGCCCACCACGCTCACCTCTTCTCCTGGGACGGCACAGGCAGCAGGTGGGTGCAAGGGGGCGAGGCAGCCCCTGCCCAGCACCCCGTGTCCCCCCAGCGCTCACCTGGGAGGAAGGTGGTGGCCAGGCACGGCGGGACAAAGCCTGGCACGCTCTCCTCCAGCTCCACCACGGCCACGTCGAAGGGGGACGACTCCTCGGTGGCAAACACCACGCGTCCCCTGAGCACGGCGGCATCCCTAAGGACACGGTTAACGAGATGTCACGGCGGGGGACACGCAGGGTCGCGGGGGGGGGGTTAAGGCTGGGGGGTCACAGCCGCACTCACTGGCCGGGGCCGGCTGCCGGTGTCACACGGAGCGGGGCTCTGGCCTCCACGACGTGCCGGCAGGTGAGGAGCATCCTCGGTGCCAGCAGCACCCCGGAGCCCCAGGTCGCCCCGCACTCCACCAGCGCGGTCCAGCCCAGCGGGTCCCGCCCGCTGCTCGCCGGCACCGCGGCCACCCACGCCGGCACCGGCGGCACCGCGATCCCGGCTTCGCCCAGGACAGCGGCGCTGCTGCGCAGGATGGCGGCCAGGGAGCAGAGCAGCGTCAGCCCGACCCACTCGGCGCCCTTCCAGCAGAAGGAGGCGGCGATCACGGCCACCACGCGCGGCCCGTCGGGCGAGGGCACGAAGGCGGCGCCGCCCTCGGTGCCGGGCAGGCAGCGGGCATCGGTGAGCACCAGGGCGTTCTCCTCGCCCGCCAGGTTGCTGACCACCCCCCGGCTCAGCGTGTTGAGGAAGAGCTCGGGGCACAGGTCCCCGAAGGGGGACCCGCAGGCCAGCAGCGCCTGTCCCTTGCGCAGGCAGCCGGCGCTGGCCCGCGCCGCCCAGCCGCCCTCGGGCGCGTCCAGCCCGGGCACCCGCAGCCAGGCGAACCAGGGCAGCGCCCGCGGCTCGCTGCCCGCCTCCTCCTCGGCCCCGAACCGCCACCGCTCCGCCCGCCCCAGGCCGCGCTCCAGCGCCCGCCGGAACGCCGCGCACGGCACCAGCGCCAGCAGCCGCGCTCCGAGCTCCCGCAGCCCGCCGGCCTCGCCGCCCAGGCCGCGCCGCGCCGCGCCCTCCCCATTGGCTGGGGCGGGGCGCGCACGTGGCGGGCACGCCCCCGCGGGGCTCTCTCGGGGGGTGCGAGGCCCCGGGCCGGCCCCGCTCCCCGGACAGAGCGGGGCCCGCTTGGAGCCGCCCCTGGAGCCCCGCCGCCCTCGGAGAGCCGGCACCGGCGGCCCGCAGCCGCCCCTCGGGACCCTCGGCCCCGACACCACACGGCCACGCTCACTTCCCGCCTCTCCCGCAGCACAAACGAGTCCCAAGCCTTTATTTCCAGCAGAAGTTCCGGGACTGGGAGAATCCCTTTGGGAGAGCTAAAATCCCCCCGAATACCGGGAGTCAGAGGCGAAGCCCCCCGTCCCTGTCTCCCCCCAGCCCCTTCCTGGCTGGCTGGTCTCGCTGTGGGTTCCTTACACCAAGTGCAAAGCCCCTGCAATCCAGGAGCTCTCCCTGCTTGCCAGCCCAGAGGCAAGCGGCTCTTCCATCCTGCCTCAGTTTCCCTCTCTGGCTGCACCGTGCAGGTCACAGAACCATGGAATCACTGAACGAATATCCTGATTGGAAGATACGAGGATTGAGTCCAGCTCCTGGCCCTGCCAGGACAGCCCCAGGAATCCCACCCTGTGCCTGAGAGCATTGTCCAAACGCTTCTGGAACTCTGTGGCTGGTGTTCTGAAGGCCCCAAGGCCCAGCAAACACCAAGCCAGACTGAGGCTCCTTGCCCCTTCGGAGGAGAAAGACATGTCTTTATTGAACTGAAAATGAGTGCCAGACAGCAATGAAACTTCAGACAAAAAAAAAAAGTCCGTTGAGAGTATAAAAGAAACCGGTTTAGTCTACATTAATCACCTCATGATATGCAAATGTCAAACACTTCCTTGCTACAACAACCCAAACAGCTCCGTGGTTCACACTGTGATGGCGCGGCCAGAGCAGCCTCAGCGGAGGGTCTGGCCCGAGGGGGAACCAGGCAGCCCCTTCCCACTGCACACCACCCCAACACCTGCACCAGGTGCTCCTCCCCACATAGGAAAAAAAAAACCAAATCCCTGTAAACTAAAGAAGCTGGGATTGCACACCTCAGTCCCAACGGCACCTCGCCGTCGTCGGTCAGCGTGACACAGCACAGCCACCCTACAGCTCAGTTAAGCCCAAATGCTATGTTTATTGAGGACTTCTAATATCGTGATACCTTGGTTCAGTAATTTGTGAAATACCTAAATACCGTTAAATATATTTTTAAAAAACCCTAAACCAGACTCTGGACTAAACAAGATGAACGTTAAACTAAAAAGTTAGAAGGGACGCCATTTACATTAACACTTTCTTTAAAAAATATAATTGCTTTTTCCTTTTCTGTTTTTGTTTGTTTGTTTTTGAAGTCAATTAACCACAGTGGTGAGACGTGCTCTCTTTTTCAGCTGTTACACTGCAGCGTGCAGAGCTTTGCCTTCCCAGGCTGGAGCAGCCCCGCTGTCACCCAAGGGGCAGGGACAACTCAGGAACGGCGCCGCCTCCCCGCCGCGTGGAAAAGAGTGCTGTCACCACTGTGCCATAGGGGCAGCTGGAAACCAGGAGTCTCTTGGACAACGCCAGGATGCGCTTGGAAAGCCTTCCACGTTCTAATAGAAAAGTCCATAGGAAGCTGAAGTGAACAGGATCAGTCCAGAGGAGTAAAACTCTCGTGTCCGTGCCAGTGTCAGTCAATGTACTGCGATAGCCAGCGGAAGCCCTCACCGTAGCCTTGCCTCTTGAGCACGCTGCACATGAACACCTCCATGGGGCGAGCGTTCAGGTCCTTCAGTGGCACATTTCCCTGGGGAAATCCAAACAGGAGTCACACCTGCACCCCTGGCGCCCTCAGGGAAGCGCCCAGCGAGCCACAGCCATCCTGGGGAGCTCCTCTCGCAGGCCCTTCGTGTGTGCGCTGCGTTTTGGACAATCCCAGCAGCTCAGAACTTGCCCAAGGGCAGCATCAGAGGTCTGGGTTGGCAGGGACCTTAAGGATCACCTCATTCCACCCCACTGCCTGGTCCCACTGTCCCAGGCTGCTCCAAGCCCCATCCAGCCTGGCCTTGAACACTTCCAAAGATGGGGCAGCCACAGCTTCTCTGGGCACCCTGTCCCAGAGCCTGCCCACCCTCACAGGGAAGAACCTCTTCCCAACTTCCCATCTGAACCTGCCCTCTGGCAGTGGGAAGCCAGTCCCTCTTGTCCTCCCGCCACTCCATGGCTTTCAAACAGTCTCCCTCTCCCAGGCTCCCTTCAGGCACACCATCATTATCATCACTGATTCACCTTGACCAATTAGTGGTCAAATTCCCAGCACCAACTCGAGCAGGGCTCAAGCTGCAAGGAAGCAGGCAAGCTCTCCCCTGGCCGTGCCAACCCGAGGTTTGGATGCCTCCCTACCTTTCCTGTGGTCTGTCCGTAGAGGCCGAAGATCTCCCGCAGCTTCTCCTCGCTGATGGCCTCTGGTCTGTCGATCTTGTTTCCCAAGATAAGGATTGGCACGTTGGATATTGTCTCATCTGTCATTAATGCCTGTGTGCAAGAGCCAACAAGAGTTGAGCAGAGAGGTGGAAAAAGGAGTCACTGCCTGAAGAAAATGGCTTTGGTTGAGCTCTGTGACCAACAAGGGCTCGTTTCTGAGGCTTCCATACTCCCGTGGGAGACTCACAGGATCCCTGAAGCTGGAGAATCCCTGCCAGCCCATGGAGTCCCAGCTGTGCCCAATGCCCACCTTGTCCCCAGCCCAGAGCACTGAGTGCCACCTCCAGCCCTTCCTGGGACACCTCCAGGGATGGGCACTGCAAAGCTCCCTGGGCAGCCCCTGCCAAGGCCTGAGCACCCTTTCCATGCAGAAATTCCTGCTGCTGTCCAAGCTGAGCCTCCCCTGAACCCAAGTGCCTGTGGCCAACCCAGAGCAAGGACATCCAGGCTCCTCCAGCTCTGGGAGAGATAGCTGTTATGTATAATTTATCTGATCAGAGGTCTTGGAGAAGGGAAAGAAGAGAAGTGTATTTACATTAAGCTCAACTTTGGATTCCATAAGCCGTGAGTGATCTGCACAGTCCACCAGGAAGACAATCCCATTGATGGCAGGCAGGTAGTTTTTCCAGACCCGGCGAGCTGGAAAACACAAGGGACAAACACGGCCCTGTGAAATCTCCACACAGGGAAAAATCCACCAAACCTCAGCAACCATGGCTGCCTTTTTAGCCAGGGTGTCTTCCTTCCAATAGTTTTGTGTACAAAAGGGCAAAAACCCTGTGTTTAAAACCTCTAGAAAGCACAGAATTAAAAATCCAACAATTATCCAAACTAAATTATATCTGAGTCTTCCACAGCTAAAAATACTTCAGGCAGCAGGGCACGAACTGGCAGCATTTCCTTCCAAGCAATCCTACAGCCAGGAGGTTGCTTCCACGTGTTTTTCCATAAATAAATCCAGGCAACAAAATAATTAGGCACTGCTAACTGCTGACACTCATCAGGATCAATTTTTTGGTAATTTTTTCCTTACCTTGTTCATGTCCACCCAGATCAAAAGTCGTGAAGGTCATTCCAGCAATCGTCAGCTCCTCTGATGCTGAAATGGAAAACACAGGTGGGATTCAGGGAAACAGGGAAGTTGTGACAGACAGAACTTCTCAGGCATTCATGCTGGCCTCACACACGCCCCTCCAATAGGGAATTCCCTGAACTTCCTGTGGAATTCAGTGGCTGAAATGGAGGCATTTCCCAAAACCGTGAGCAGCAGAAAATAATTTCTCCTGCTTCCCACTGAAGCTTTCTAACCCACAATTATTATGCTTTATTAGGCTTTTCATTAGGAAAATCTTCCCTTTCTATTAATTGAGCCACACCAGTTGTTGGGCATTTCTAGAGAGGAAAACACAGATCCACTTCAGCCTGGGGAGCCACGCTGCAGCTGCAACCTCAGCTCAAGTTTTGAGACCCCCAAATCCCCCAGGCAGAGCTGCCACCAAGGTGTCTTCCTACACCCTGCCCTCAGAATTCCAGAGGGAGAGCCACGCCAGGAGGCTTTTCCCAGGACACTTACTGGGATGTAGTGTGGGGACGTGCTGGCCCAGCCTGTCATCTTTGAGCATGTGCAGCAGAGTGGTTTTCCCCGCATTATCCAAGCCCAGGAACACCAGTTTTCCAGACTTCTTGTACAAACCTGCCAGGAGAAGGAACAAAGCAAGAGGAAAACTCCAGCGGGCTCACCCGGAACGCCACGCTGCTTTTTTTGGGGAAGGCCTTTCCCAGAGCTCTGCTGCCACCTGTGCACACTTCCAGCATGGACACGGGGCAGCAGGGAAAACACACACAGCTCAAGCAGGCTTTTTCCAAGGCATGTTTACAGCAAGGGACATTTCCTAAGCTCGTGTTGTATCCCATTCTTTCCTCTGGTCCACCCTAGCAGCAGAGGACAGAGTGCAGCAGAGTATTACAGATCAATCTGTCTCCTCAAAAGATGTGAAAACTGAACACACTCGTAAAAGAATAGCAGTGGGTTGTCCAGGAAAAAGTGCCAAGCAGGGAACAGTGCATTGTTTCCTTGGCATAACTGATTTTTCTCATGTTTGCCCCAGGAGAGCTCCTAAAGACTTTTCTCCCCCAGTCCCTCTCATCCTCCCTTCTAGAGAACGGGCACCCCGTCCTCCAGCAAGGAGTTCCACTGGAACCCAGCACTCTGGAAGGAGGACGAGGAGGATGGGGAGGCAGCACCTCAGCCTGGGGCTGGACAGCCCAGCTGCCCTCAGGCTTCCCAAGGGCAAGAGAAACACCTGAGTGGGAGCCCAACGCCTCCAAATGCTCCCGAAGTTTCTCTGCAGCAGCATGAAAGCCTCTTTACTGACACAGAGCTTCCTCACCAGGCCCGGCACCGGCCAGAGCTGCCGCACACCACCTCGAACCCGACTTTTATGGGATGCTGGCAACGGGAGAAGCCAAACCCACCCAGAGGGGGCTGCTGAGGCATTACCTAGGAACTGCAAGACGCTGCTGAAGCCGTTGTAGAGCCATTCGAAGATGAAAGACATCTCTGGAAATAAAATGCCTGCGGGGACAAACCCCAAACCCCGATTACAAAGCGTCGGTGCCCACAGGGAGCCGCGGTCGGGGGGATCGGAGGTGCCGGGAAAGGGAGGGGACGGGGGCAGCGGGGGCCAAGGGGCACGGGGGCGAAGGGGACAGGGGATGAGGGGCCACCGGGCTGAGGGGGACCGGCCTCAAGGGCGGGCGGCGCGGCCTGG